TTCAAGCCCCCCCCCCCTATTACCGATCGGATTATGGATAAAACTAGTTGAAAATACATTCATTGGTTCATTTATTTATCTATCTTTCCATCTATCTATCCACAAAACAAGTTAAGTCAATTCAAGTCAGTTGATTCCACTTTGAGCCTCCGCCACTTATAAAGTATTCATCACACAAGGGTGACAAGGAAAGTTCATAACAGAAGATAAACGCTTAGGAATAATGTAACGGTTGAAATCAGCTTATTACACCCTCACTGATGTCGTATTCAAAGAATTCTGAGCACGTAAGAACTCTAGCTAAGTAAGGGAAACGTGGAACGCTTAAACACGTGTTATATAACGAAAAAATGGTGGATGGGAGAAGAAGAACGCTTTTTAAGCTCAATGTTTAGCAACTGAGAATAGCCACGTAAAATCCTGAATAAGAATCTTGTAAAAGATTTACGGTATTCAGCTACTTTTGTAAAAGGGGCTAACGCCACATGCCAAAGGAAGCTCAACGGAAATTAATTTGAGTTTATGTATTTTTATTACGATTGAAATAGTTTCGATCACCTATAAGGAGCAGGGGACAGATGTTTCGTCCTGTTTGGGACTCTTCGATAGTGCGAACGTTTTGCGCCTGTGTCCGGACAAGCTGCATTTAAACTCTTCAGTGAGCACCGTAGAGAAAATAACAGGAGTCTATGTAACCGGCGAAAAACGACTTATCGATGAGTAGGGATAAAAATGGACTAAATACGTTACGTATAAAATGTAGGCTTTCTGTCCCTTTGGTAAGCACACTGGTAACATGATAAAATCGGGTGCAATATTGACTTAAGGGCGCACAAATATATCTGACAGATGGCTGCGGGTCATCTGATAATTGGAAGTGGCCAAATTAGGAATGATACTTCAAAGTTATTCCTATTGAAACCTTTGAAACCGAAATTTTTTTTATATGGAACACACTATACAGGTCACCTTACCGTTTTATTGTGGAAACAGGTCTGTATTTTACCTCGTGTGAGCTTGTACAGTATCCTCATACAATGGGCAAAGACGGGAAATAGGCAGACCATAAGCGTATTTTATTAAAAACAAAGAGGTAAGTACGTGTATGGAAGGTGTTTGAGTAGACAATAGAATTTGGGATGAAATACCACCTTTCAGTTCACTTCATGTCAGAATAACGGTGAAGGTATCTTGCACCGAAACTACTGCCGACTGATGAAGTGATTAGTCAGTAGTTCAATCGTGTATTTATATATGCATGTATGTATGTATGTATGTATGTATGTATGTATGTATGTATGTATCAGTCAATCACTCAGCAAATAAACCACTTAGTCGATCAAATTGTCTGTCCATCGAAACATCAATCTGATACAATCCCCTCCATTACCTACCTATTTTCTCTTTATTTATATTTCCATTCCTTTGTAATAAATAAATACCAGTTTTTTGGCTCCAAATTCAATGATTTCTATAACTTCTCGTCAGCCTTCCTTGTAGTTTTCCTCTCTGTCAGTCAGTACTAACTGTAGATACTAGTCAACCATGTTGTGGTATTTTTCATTCCCATAAGACGGCTCTTTACACCTGTCCAACCATAAACTGAAATAGATCTATCGAGTTTTGCTGCTGTTTGACTGTGCTTATCGCCAGCCTCACACCAGGAGAATTTAATTCACATGCAATTAGTAAACGCCTAACTTTAGTCAAAAGGTCAACAAAGATAATCAAGCGAGAGGATACCATAACACATCCGTTGCAAAACCCGAAGATGATTTCAAACTGCACACGTCGATGTCGGTTTATCTGTTCCGTGGAATAATCATTACCAAATTTAATTTGGTCAAGGGATTTAGGAAAAATCTTTCAATTGATCGAGCCAACATAAAATGTTTGGGTATATTTTCGCATCAATGGGTAATCGATAAACCACCATTGACACACGGGAGATTCGCGAAACACTACAGCCAACGGATAAATTGTCTGAATTTGCTAACACGACGGGTGGGAGTGGATCAGATAATCGGTTAAGAGTCTTCCACATCACAGGTGAGTGATTGTTCAGTCCCAATGGAGTGCAGTAGACATACTGTGTTCAAATCTTGAACATGCTTCACAAATCACTTAAATGTTGTCATTCTTCCGCCCGCTTGCGCGAGCTTTCTGATTCTTGAATCAATCATTTGATTTGTTTGTCTAGGATGAAAATTTTGAGAACATTGGATTGGTTATTTCAGACAGAGCGAACATGGTTGCAGCACCAAATTCCATACCTATACCCGACCTATTTGTCTTCGCTAAGGAATTCAAAGTCATGTGGATCTAAAACGGAAATAAGAGCGCCTCAATTTACGGTTGTAGTATGGGGTGCCGGCACTGGTGTCTCTTCTAGTACATTACAGACACTAATTATCCAGCCTGAAATTCATTGTCCGTACTGACCACCAATCCTTAAGCTGGCTACAAACTTCAAAGATGCTAAGGATCAAGCAGCGTGGTGGCAGGAGATAATACAGGAATATTACTTCGAATGCCTCCACAAACCTGGAAAACAGAACATTTACGCCGACTCGCTATCACGATGCCCTGCCCTCCGCCATGAAGATTGCTCAAACTGCACCAACCAATACATAGCAACAGTGTGGCTGCAGCGTGCGGAGTACGCGCGTTGACAAACGACTCAGGCGAATGATCCATAAATAGCGTTGATCTACGATCGAGTTCGCGCAGACGGTGATCGACCAACAAGCAGCGAGATAGAAAGAAAAAGCTACAAAACCCAGGGCCTCTGGTAGATGTTGAATCAACTGAAAACGGCAGAGGGAGTGCCCAGACTACATATCATGAATAGTGGTACCGCAAACATTGGTGCATGAGGTCCTGCAAGCCCTCTATACAGAGTTGGGTCACGCGGGTATCAACAAACTGAAGTTTGCAGCGAGAGAACGCTTTTGGTGGCCACACATACATAAGGACGTGGTAAATTTGTGCAATGCATGTGAACTCTGCGGCAGTTTCAAAAATCCGTCCCACAGCTATGGGGCTCCACTCCAGACCACCACTGCCAGCTACCCAAATGAAATGGTCGGTGTCGACATAATCAGACCCCTTACGGACACGCTAAAGGACCACAGATACATTATTTTATTGGTGGACTACTTCACTACATGGTGTGAGACTGTACCACTAGAACACGTCGACTCTGTGACCGTGACGGATGCAATACTCAACAGATGTGGTGCACCCGGTCAACGGCACTCGGACCGTGACACAATCTTTGAGGGCGCCCTGCTGAGGGAAGAGTGCAAAGCCCTGGGACTAGATAAGACAAAAGCAACAGCCTACCGCCCGCAGGGCAATGGCCAAGTGGAGAGAACAAACCGTTCCCCAAAACCCCTACTAAAGGCTTTCGCAGACACCAACCCCAAAGAGTGGGACCGCGTACTGCCCGCTGCCTTCTCGCGTACAACAGTACGGTCCGACGATCTACTGACCAAACGCCGCACTTCCTGCGGACTGTCAGGAAGATGAGACTCCCGAGCGACAACCGACTACCAACGATTGATCGCCAGTTATGGACGGTCACACAGTATGTATCATCAATGGTGATCGACTCACTAACCAGATGGCTCACACCCATATCGAAGCATCGCAGAGATGCTAGAAGGATTATTACAATAAGGGGTGCTTCGGAGCCCTATTGAAGACAGATGACCGAATATGGTTTCACAAGACACAGACGACTCCTGGGTTACCAACGAAACTCCACAAAGAATGGCGCGGGCCCTTAGTGGTAGAACGAGTACTATCGGGAAAAAAATGTGTCATTCGAGAAGTTGGATCGACGCAACCATCCTTTGTGGTACACTTAAACCAACTCAAACTATACCTATCCCAAGCCAGGTCGGAGAGAGATAACAGCGAAGACAATGTGACCCTGCCAGAGGTTGCCTTTGAAGTAGAAGTGCCGGTTGAAGGAGGTTCTGCTAGGACGTCGAGGACGACGCTTTCGGGAGAAGGGGATAGTGTAGAGTGAAATCGAAACTGACTGACGTCCAGCTGTACAAGTTGCGTGGCGCCTGGCATCGTGATGACACTGAGATGGCACCCACACGTAACACTACCATTTTGTATTGTAACCGGTTCATATTCTCATAGTGTTGCTAAGTTTTGCATCAATATAATATCATCCGAACCCTTCAAGTTTTATCCCCGATTGAAACATGCTAGACGGTGCATTTTGGGAAATTCACTTTGGGGGACGTGTTTTCTATTTTTGTTCGCAAACCAGTTTTCGTCTACGTTGAAAATGAAGGTTCATTTTAAGGGGGATATCCATCATTCGCGAGTAAAACAATTAGTGAGTGGATTGGTAGAACGGACCGTATCCTCTTTCGTAATAGTTGTTCAGAACTTGTGAACCCCAGTTTTAATTATTGCTAAACGGTAGGGATATTAATTTGTGCAGCATGTTGGAAGTTGTACTCCGGATACAGTTCTCCCCGTCAATATATCCATAATGTGTTAATTCAT